GCGCACTGATCTGTATTTTCGAGGAAAAACGTCCAAAACGTACGAAATACTGTGCATAACTTTTCGTACGATTTCATACAAACTGATAATGAGAATATGTTGTTTAGTTATACTTTTGAAATCTGATTATTTATCTCCTATTTGATGCTGCATTGCTCATTTCATTGTTTTATTGCCTTCCAGATGATGATCATGATGGCAGTAATAGGTGTTATATGTGTTGGAGTCGTCTTCTGTAAGTATAAAACAGTGACATTAAAATACTTAAAATCTGTTAAATTGCCCGTAAACGTACTCTGTTCTGTTTGTATAACACATGTATGCAGTTGTCTGTCCTAAACAGGACAGATACAGTAAAATGTAAACAAAACAATTGCATCAGTTGACAAAATGAAATTTTTTTTATCAAAGAATATAAACAACAAAACTTAAATTTGTGGGAAATAAATTGTTTTCTTTTTTAATAGCACAGCCAGATTAACATGCCATTAGGTGAGACATAACCAATTGATAAACTGACTGTATGTATGGTCTTTTAAAGGATTTAAAGATAACCAGTTTTTAAAATTCAACATTTTGCCGTTTTAACTCTAAGTATATTTGATTATGATTTTGTTTAAAATACCACATCAGAATGGTGCATAAGTATGAAAAGGAATACAAATTATCATTGGCTATAGAGATTTTAACCAAATATTTTGTTCATTTGTAATCCCCACTACTTTGACACATCTAAATTAAATCCACCAACCGGCTCTACGGTTCCCATGATTAGCAACTAAAATCAAACTGGCTGAAGTTTACTATCACAGTTCGTTAGAGACAAAGACCTGGCCATTTGTCTAACTCCAGGAGTGGGACTATGTCATGACTCCACAAGTCGATTTATAAGTCAAGACTATCAAGTCCTATGGTTTAAATTTAAAGTCATTAACAAATCATGATGAGCCAGATGGATCACAGTTTTTAATTTAACCCCTTTGACGCCTGAATTCACATTCATGTATATAATATAATAGTTCTGTGTTTCCCTCCATAAAGTAGTTCCCAAAGGTAGAATGTTACTTTGACTGTTGCTCAAAAATAAATGGAATTTTAGGTGTGATGCATTTTTGACAACAGCTATAATAAATTATAACATTCATTGTCAAGGACCGGTCATACCAGAAACAGCTTGTCAAAGGTTCCTAGGTTCACACTGCATGTGTAATACTGGTGTAATACTTGGCTGTTTGTGTACTGCAAATGGTTTGTTGCATATTTGCAACAATAGGCATTAAGGGGTTTTAATAAGAGTGTCAAGTCATTTCAAGTCAATGCGATCAAGTCCAAGTCGAGTCACGGGTTTTTAGTTCTAAAGTCAAGGTTAAGTTGCATTGATTTTATGGTAAAACATGGAGAGTCACAGCTAATCAAGGGAAAGTCTACCCAACCTCAGAACACCGATCAGCAAAACCACAATTCTGGAGGAATTGCAGTGATACAAGAACCTTTTGACGCTGCAAATCAAATCAATCTAAATAGGACGGACTAAACACAGATGGAGGAAAGTACATAAAATACCTGTTAGAAAACACATCAGAGGCTGCAAGAGAGTTGAGCCAAGTGTTTAGGCTCACCTACGACCTTAAATATGGGCACAAATGTTGTCCTGTTCACCAAAATATTTGGAACTTTTATATAAAAAACTCAAAACACAAAGAAATCGAATTATGAATCTTTTCCTTCTATTTTACAAACACAACATTTTATGTTGTTTGTATCCTAAGATTTCAGGAGCATACTCTAAAGTTTGGTCACATTGACACATTTTTAAAGGTTCAAAGGAAACTAAAATTTTAGCAGGAACTAAAAAAACAGTGCACTTGTCCTCATAGCATCTTTCATAATTATTACAGCACTATGCCAATTCTACTGCAATGTGAACTACTTTTCTTTAACTAGTTGTCATTTTATTCTTTTATTTCTGAGAAAATTACTTAACCTGATAAATGTTTTTCAGTGCAAGTTGAATAAAATCTCACCATTGCTTTTATTTTGTCTTCACTATATCCAGTATATTTCTTCTACTGAGCTGCTCTTCAGGACTGGAACTACAAGTCCCAGGACAAGTCTGCACCCATAAATGCCACCGCACCGAGTCGAGACTTTCCTCTGTGCTCCTTGTCCTCCTCTTCCTCAGAAACCTCCATGCATGGCCTTTAATGTGCGCCTCCTTTTCTCTCTGCAATGAACAGCTATTTAGAAAAACTAGTTCATTTGGTTTTGATGGGCCTCCCTAAAATGAACCATTTTGGTGAGTTGGACAAAATCAGATGAGTTTGGAAGTTTTATTGAGTACAGATAATTCAAGAAAACCTTAGATTTACTGGAAATCCACTTGTTAAACATGACCACAACTTCCTTATTCAATAGGAGACAGCATCTGTCTGAATACTGCAAATCAGTAAGGACTCTTAAGCCAAAAGTGGAAGTGCTTCTGCAGTCGCCATGATAAGTGCTGTCTGAATAGTGCTGGCAGTAGGGAAGCTTCCTATCATAGTTTTGGTCACATTATAACATCTAGAAGGCTAAAGGATGTCTAGATTCAGCACAGCAGCTGAGTTCCTTTCCTAACTTCTATAATGTCCGAACTATTGAATCCATGAAAGGCGAATGCGGAGGAGCATTTTGCAGCTTTTGGATTAAGTCACAGTCACACAATATAACTTATCAATTACATCCTAACAATAATACATAAATGAAGCTGTGAAAACACTGTAGGTCAATCTTTATTTTCTTATGGAGTTGTGAAGCTGGTTTTAGTGGTTATGTTTAACAAAGTTGTAGCCGACGGCTGAGAAACTGCCGACGTTCCGCTTATTGATGATAATTCTTCCATTTTCTAAAAGCATGAATTTGACAGAATAAACAAGGAACCTTTGTAAATTAAAATTAAGTTAAAAAAGGTGTGATGTGTTTCGCGTTGAGTCAAAAAGGATCTTAAATGAGAGAATTTGTGACCCCTTACCCCTGTAGGGCAAGGCAAGTTTAATTATATATCACATATCAGTGGCGAGACGATTCAAAGTGGGGAAAAAAAAAAAAGAAAAGAGCAATGCAGTGGCATAGAGGCAGCACAAATAAAAAGATTGATGAAAATATTTAAAAACAGATCAAATGATAAAGAAAATGAAATAAAAGTTAGATCGGAAACTTAACTGATAATGTGTACGTAGATGGTTCAGTCAAAGGTCAATCTAAAAATATATGTTTGTAATCTGGATTTTGAGCCACTGATGGGTTCAGCGCTTTTACAGTTTTTTGGGGTAATTTACTTCAGATTTGTGAAGTATCAGAACAAAACGTAGCTTCTCGATTCTGGTAGATAAGAAGACCTGAGAGGTCTGGGTGGTTGATCCACTGACAGCAGGTCTGTAATGTATTTTGGAGCTAAGCCATTGATTTATAGTCTACAGGAGGATTTTAAAGTCTAATTTCCGAGACTGTAGAGCCTATGTGGTCAATTGGGGGTTGGAGTTGTACTTTCATTTTGTCTTTTGGTGGAACACTAACAGTGAAACTCATTGATTGCTAACATGTATTGCTTTAAAACGTCCGTTCCAGAGGTGTCTTTCGCTCCTGACTCCGCCCTCTCCTCAGGTGTTACTGTCAGTGTTTCTCTGCTGCTGCTGATTTAAATCCCAGCCTGACTTCTTTTCCAACCGCTTTCTGTCTGTTTTGATCCATCCTGTGTTTAATTGATGTTTTGTCTGCCGGCTTGTGGTTTCTGTGCTTTGAATGTGCAACATGTTTATTTGTTCCCAGAACTTGTTTTTTTGGAGGGATTGAATTTATGCATTAAAATTAATGAATTCATTGCATTATGGTTGACAGGAAAATCAAATAAACTCATATTTGCATTTAATTTTCTCCACTTGTTTGTTTTGAATCAGTTTTGAATTTCATCATGTGAAGTTTAGGTCAATTCCTTTTTTGCTCCCATATAGTTTAAGTCAGATATTTATATTAAAAGATGCTAAAAAGACACTACATTATTTTTCTCACTTTCTGACACCCTTTATAACAGGTGCTTTATATTCAATACTTTATTTTTCTTTTGATGATTTCAAAATTTCAAGATTTCCTTCTGTGAAATTGTTTTTAGTTTGTTTCTATAAAGACTAAACCTTGCTGGATTTTTTTTCACTTAAGCTTTATTTTCTATTTGATAAACTTAAGATTAATAATCAAGGTGATGTTTTTACAATTTACTTTTACAATATGAGGCTATATAGTCTTTTTTTTTTTATACATGAACTTCATGCACAACAATGGATTTATAAAAATGAAGTTGTAAGAAAGTGAGCGGGAATTAACAAACTTTTTAAATCAACAACAGGCAAAAAAAAATCACAAAAACCTACTTAATTAAACTGCAATTAAACTACAATATTATTTCACCAAATATAAACTGTTACGCAGGTCCTTCTCAAAATATTAGCATATTGTGATTCCTTCATTATTTTCCATAATGTAATTATAAAACTTGAAAATTCACGTATTTTAGATTCATTGCAACTGAACTAACTGAAATATTTCAGGTCTTTTATTGTCTTAATACGGATGATTTTGGCATACAGCTCATGAAAGCCCAAAATTCCTATCTCACAAAATTAGAATATTTTATCTGACCAATAAAAGAAAAGTGTTCTTAATACAAAAAAAGTCAACCTTTAAATAATTATGTACAGTTATGCACTCAAAACTATGGAAGAGGATTAGGGCCACTGGAAAAAAACTTATTTTTAAATTTTATTTCAGTCAGAATTCTGACTTTTTTCTCAGAATTCTGACTTTAATCTCAGAATTCAGACTTTAATCTAAAAATTCTGAGATTGAAGTCAGAATTCTGACATGGACATGCACACCGGTTTGTGCACCAAGGAGCGTAAAATCCATGTATATTCTCGAAGGGACTCTTCATTCTAATAGGAAAAAATGAGGCGTAGTAGGATATAGGTTTCCTAACAAGTCAAATGTGATGATAAATCAGCTTGACAAGCTATGGACAATCACACCTGTCCATAAATAGCTGCGTAAAGCCGTGCATAATTGTGCAAGGATGTCATCCATTGGAAGAACAGGTTCAGAGACCCTGTTGACCAGCTGGGGCATGAGAAAAAATAATGAAAATAAAATTGAAACAATAATAAAAAACAAAAAAAAAAACACTCATAGAGCACAGACCTTCGCCATACAGCACATATTGTCTCATATAGAGACTTTTACCTTCAGATAAAACTCGCACATGATCCAGATCATTACTCTATGTTCTGCTCTCATCTTCTTTATTCACACTGCTTTCTTGTTTGGTCAGCAGATTCAGACTTCTAGGGAGGCCTGCCTCACCTGTCCTGTTTTTGTCTTCAGTGTGATGCTTTTGAGTCTGATGCTGAGGCTGTCACTGCTGCCACCCTCTGGTTTAAATAATGTTAAAGAATCCTTTTAAAAAATCCTTAATCTGGTTTATGATGTGAATCATCACCAAAATTAAATGGATTGTTCCTTGGTTTGATGCACACCTTTGGTAAACATTTAATTGAAATCCCTTCATAACTTCTCAAGTTCTAATGTAAAAAGCCATGCATCTTCCTTGGCAGAGGTAAAAGGGCATATATTCTAATTATGTCAAATTAATATAAAAAAATATATTGTCTGCCAGCATTGTTTCACAGCTGACATCCAAATGATTGGGTCTATCAGTTTGGACAAGTCGCCTCAAATAGGCACTCTGTGATGTTAGAGCAATAAACAAGCACAGAGCAACTGCATAAAAAGCATCTTTTCATCAAAGCAGATCCATTCACAGATGGTGTCCTTATGAGCACAGCCAGAGCTTTTTGAATCCTCACTTTATGTTGCATCTATTTAGGCGCAGCCTGTATCATAATCTGCATCCCCAGGTTCAACACCAATCACATGGTGAAGTTTGCAGATGACACCATGACAGTGGGCCTCATCAGAGATGACAACGACCAGGACTGCAGAGAGGAGACGGAGCAGCTGGTGCAGAGATAACAACCTGATCCTGAAAGTGGAGAAGACGAAGGAGATCGTTGTCGACTTCAGGAAGAACCGGCCTATCCACGCTCCACTGCTCCAGGCTCAGCTGTAGAGGTGCTCAACAGCACCAAACTCCAGAGGGTGTCTCTAAAATGTTGGAAATGTCAACATTTAACATCTGTTCTGTTCTAATCAAATCCAAATAAGGAAAAAAAGTTCTGATTATTTTGGTATTTAGCAACAGGAAATTTGTTGGTAATCCTATTTGATCTACAACTGTTAGATTTAATGAGAGAAAAGATTTTCCATCAGTCCTTTAATCGTATGTTAGACAGTATATGGGATCTAAGCACCAAATCTGATTAACAGATTAAGAATTAATCCTGAACACTCTCCAGTAGATGATGTAAATATGATGTATGTAAATATTCACCTTTTGGTTATACTTTTACTTTTTGCCTTCTTAAAGAAATTATACAACCAGACTAAAACTGCAAAAGATCAAAGTTGTTTGGTTTTCCCCCTAATTTCAGGTGCTGACTTTTTTTTTTCCTGAATTGTTACTAGTTAAGCAGAGAAATAAGTTGGGAGTCTCTGGTCAGACTATGTTTTCAGATGATCATTCATAATGTGAAATACCTCAGAAATGATAAAGTGGGAAGAGAGTAACTCAAGGAAATTCCTATTACCTCCTCTAGCAGCAGATAATATTTTCTATTTGTCCAAGGAGAATATATTTAATTAAAATAAAGCTGATGGGAAATTATTCTGTTCTCAATCATCCATGTTCTCAGAGTTGTTTTCCTTTTTACACATCTCCATCACAAACCACAGCAGCCTTCTGTAGGTCCTTTGTTTACATTTGTTTTTCCAGAAACTGCTTTTAGCATCTTGCAATCTGCCTTCAACTTTGCATGGGCCTGTTTTTATATTCTGTACAGGAACATGGCTTTGAACATTCATTTAAAACCTTTTTTAATTCCATCCCAGCACTGTAGTCTTCTTTTTTCTGATCATGAGGTTCACTAAAAACGTCATGCCATTAAAACTTTCAGTAGGACCTCCGTCCAGAACTGATGAAACACCTTTTTTTTTGTACATTTTTTATTTAGGTCCCAAAAAACCATCATAATAACATTATATCAATAATATTAATAAAGAAATTGAAAAAAAAAAGAGGGAAAAACAATATAAAAAAAATTCTGTCCACGGCCTAATTTTTTGGACAGGAAGGAGATCTGATCCCCCAGAGAACAGTCCGTTTATGGGTGAAGAGTGAAGCAGGACGCGGCTTCAGGTTCGGGACGCGCTGACCGTCGTTCTGCTGTGCACCAATCAGGAATGTTGATGTGAGGCGGCGGGGTTCCAGACGATCTACTGCTGCGGCATCTGCTGGAAAACCAATGACAGATTAGAGCAACGCAGGCGAGCATCAGACACGTTTAGAAGGTCAGCCGCATGCTTCACTACCTGCTGCGTCTGGGTCTGTGTTTCGGGTCCTCGGCTCGCTAGGCGGCTGAGGATGTTCCTCTCTGACATCTGGAGCCGGACAGCGACCGGCGGTATCCGGGCGATGGTTGCCGGTAGGCGGGTCACATCTGCCTTCATGTCACTCAGCAGTTCTTCCAGCTGCTTTAGCACTGAAACGCAAACCAATCAAAGAGTCCGTGTCATTCCAACAGGTTTGCATCAGATCCAGAACCAGCAGCTCTCCAGGAAAAACATACATTAGGTGTGTCCTAAACAATGAAGGTCAACAATGAAAGTGATCAGCTATGAATAAGGACAGTCTAACCTTCAGCAGCAGTCAGGCAACTTTCGTTTCCTAGCAACGGGGCATGAGGCAAAGACCTATAGAGTCTGAACATTATCTTTTTATATAGTTTAATCTGATATACATGTTATTAATCAAAGGAAAACAATTGAGGAAAATCTTAGAAAACAAATTAATAAGGCTTAATTTTTATGACAACAGAAAAATAAGTGCAATAATCGCCATGTAACAAAAGTTAAGGTAAAATCTTCATAATTTATCACTTAGATGAAGATAAGGCATCTTTATTTCCTTTTTAATAGAGATCCCAGAAAACAGGAAATGCCTTCAGTATTTTAATGTTTTTTAAAGAGCTACAGAAAAAAAATGTTCTGAAAAATATACGAGTCTATTGGAAATTAATAACTCTTAAATGTTTGCATAGAAGGTATTTGGAAAGTAAAATCAGATCGATGAACATGACGTTAATTTCAACCCACTGAACACACATTCTCGCTTAAAAATATCTTAAGTTTATTTACTAAAAAATGTTGCCACCGC